GTATATATATATAATTCACTTCTTTCTTGAATATGAAGTGAATCTTTGCAAGGTATAAAAAGGAATACAACTACAAAAGAAACAGGGGTAAAAAAAACCCCAACAAAATAATAAAACAGGATTGGTTGTGGGATTTAAGAGTGGGGATATTAAGCGATAGACAACTGTAAAGAAACACTCCAACTCAAATGAAAATAAATATGTTAGTTTCTGCAACCGCATTAGTTCTCACACATTGAGAGAAAAGATTTTGTGAATATAAGTCTGTCAGTTTTCAAACAGTGTAGTTACTTTCATTAGAAACAGGATATTGAAAAAGTTTAGCTTGTGAAACGTGAAGAACACTGACACAATCGAGGTATTATCGAAAACACTCTTGTGTCTCTGTCTTCCTTTTCTTCTGTGTTTTTGTCTCTGTACCTTTCTAACACACACACACACACACACACACATACACACACACACACACACATACACTCACACACACATAAATACACACACGCATACACTCAGAATTACCAGAAAAATGATATATTATATCTAAAAGGCAACTTTTGCCATGTTTTACCCGTTAATAGTCGCTAGTCTCATCACTGGTCTTTTTGTTGCTGTGCAAATTTATTTATTCATTTATGGTTTGACTGAGCGAATGATTGATTGATTGATTAATTGATTGACGTTTAAAATTGATAAATTGATTCTATTAATCCATACGTGTATTTTTTACTTTTCATTTCAATTATTTACCGAAAATGAATTTATTTGTTGACGTATTCATCAACTTATTTAGAAGTTTTTAGAAGTTTGTGTAAGATAATACATTTCCACATTCAAACATTAATGTATCCATCCATTCAATTATTCACCCATTTATTCTGTCATAGCACGCTCTCACTCTTTGGCATTGACGTTCAAGTATGCATCAAGTATCAAGGTATGTAACCAATACTTTCTACGTGAGTTCAGAGTTGTCTTTCCTCACTGCCCAAAACAAGATGAAGTGTCGATCTGTGCAACGGGAGATAACCGATAATAGTTTTTTCCGCAGCTCGCGATATTCACCAAGGGAAATAACCGAGAAAATTCCGATTGTCAAAGCGTTCTCACCTCGGTGGCCTCCTCTTCGTCTTCGCCCCTTCTTCTGGAGCGGCGGCTGCTAGTGTCTTCTGCTGGGGCCTCTCTGTGAGGGAGAGAGGAGGAGGGGAGGAGGGGAGGGGACCGTTAATTTATGAACACATGTTTGACCGAGATTGTGCTTTAGACACTGAGCTGGGGAGGTAATATACATTAATGGTTAAATGTATACAGTATAATATTATAGATGCAGTAAGAGAGAGAGAGAGAGAGAGAGAGAGAGAGATAGAGAGAGAGAGAGAGAGATAGATAGAG